AAACTTCCTGACTTGATTATATGTATTCCAAACAATTTTGAAAATATATGTCAGTTTCCTTAGGTAAGTTGCGTTTTATTGAAAGCCTACAGTTTATGGCAGCACCATTAGATGAGCTGGTAAAAGGTTGTAGTGAGATTGACAACCTACAAGATTGTTTTAGAGATAAATATAATCTATTGACTAAACAAGGTGTATTTCCTTACGAATTTTCGTCGAGTAAACTGCAGTAGTTATGGACTAGATCCTTATTAGCATTATTTGGCTCCCTAGCTGTCATGAGACGTAAAGTTAACGTTTAGTAAAGTAAGGTTAGAATTACTGACTGACGTTATATTCAGTTTTATCGATAAATGTATCAGGCAATATCAGCGTTATAACAAAGAAATTTTCTGAAGCAAATAACAAATACCTGAAAGAATACAATCATAAGCTTCCTTCGATGTATGTAATTTATCTAGATTGTAATAATTTATATGGTTAATCTGTAGAAGAACCGATGCATTTTGGTTGATTTCGTTGAATTACACAAGAAATATTTCTATCGGAGACCGATAAAGTTACCTGACATTGTTTTGTATTTCGTTGAGGTTGATCTGGATTATCCTTTTTCGATAAAATATCAACAAAACGATTATTCTTTCTTTGCGGAATAAATGGTAATTAATTATCGTATTTTATCGTAAGAACAAAAAGCGACAACATCACTAAGACAAAAGAAGAAATTCCGATGTTATTGTTTGCGGACAATCAATCTTTATCAATCCCTATTATCATTTCTAATAGATGTATATTCATTATTTCCTCTTTAAACTTGATAATTTCTTTGCACCATTTGTGCGAGTAACACTAGGTTTCATCACGTAATGCAGATCTGACATAAAAAGAAAAATGCTGGAGTAGGGCCGATGACCTTTATTGTTTCTGCAGTTTTAGAGAATTAATATACAAGTCACAAAAAGCAGTTAATTTTGAAAAGTATCACACTTCATGCAAACATCTTATTTTATCTTTAATCTTTGAAATAGCAACAAAAACCAGAATACGTTGTGGTTCAGCCCCAACCAAGAAAGGAATGGGATTATTGGCAATGGATATGGTGTATCGTTGCTATCATCTTCTTTCCGCCTCTTTTGCTCCTTCTCTTTTTCGTAAGTATGTTTTTTTTCCATTGTGACAGTTTTTGCAAAGAATTATTATTTAGCAAGAATCATAATGTTTTGACGTACAGTCCGTTGACGATAGAAATGCACGCTACAACATGGCACCTATGCTTACAAATAATTCACATGCATATATTCATACTGATTCAATATTCAAACGTCTCATCTAGCTAACACCAATCAGATGTGGGTTTGAGTTCGATAATCGTTAGTTATCTTTGTGTCATGTTTATTGTAGACCCTATGGCCGTGAATTTAAACCGTGCTATTTCTGCTTACATGCAAAAATGTCAAGTGATTTGCATTTTATGCATCGATAATCAGATAGAATATATAAAATTAATATTATATATTGCAGTGACGTCGAGAATTGAACAAAATGGAAAACGTAGATCCAAACCTTACCCCACCTTATGCATAAGGGTCTTAATTTGATGGCAACTTAAAAGAAAGGCAATAGTTATTGGAATTTAAGAGTGGTATACTTGATATGAAATGGGTATATATTCGCCGGTTTCTGTGACGTACACTCTTCCGTTTATGATATGACCATTCTGCTACGATATTACGACCCGGTTTTTATATAAATTATAAAGGCGTTTTATATAAAGGACAAATTGAAATGTTAATGTATTTTAACATTTTAAAAAAAAACAAACATCAGGCTTCCATATTTAAATATATAGATATATAGATCGAAATGGTTATCGGATTTTTTTTTTAATTTTACAATCTTGTCTAAAATTATGGCATTTTATGGTGATGGAAACAAAATGTAAGATTTATACGAGATTCGTTCAACAGCTTATATTTTTATTAGTCAATTGAGAAGAAGAAAACGCTATTGTAGATAACCCGGTGGTATTGGAAATTATGTCAAATAAATAAAGTATGTCGTTTTATTATATCATCTAGTTGCTGTGAAACAATCGTATACTATTAAATGCAATATGTACTAAAGAAAGTGTTGTGCAAAATTGCAATTTCTTAGTGTTTCTTTGACTGAATGTGCTCTTTCGAGAGTAGAAGTCCAAATCTTTGTCAAAGCTTCCGATGTTCTTGGTTTGGGACAATCAATCTTTATCAATCCCTATTATTATTTCTAAGAGATGTGTTGAAACCAAATTCAACTCACACACTTTCAGGATTTATGTAGAACATAGTTTTTCTGGTTCAGCTACCATAATGTGTCATATATTAAATCGAAACAACGCGTTAGTACTTTATTAAATGGAAACGCCTTATTACTTTATGAAATAAGGATGTATTAGTACTTTATGAAATCGAAACAATGCATTATTAATTTATGAAATCGAAACAACGTGTTATTACTTATGAAATGGAACAACGTGTTATTACATATGACATCGAAACAGCGTTTTATTACTTTATTGAAATAACTTATCTAAGTCTTATTTTTCATCATTTTTCTAAGGATCGGATAATAAAACTTTTGAAGCTAGACGCAAACATGTTACTCATTCTTGCTCATATGTTATGAAAGCAATATATTGAGGTCAGTAAGCTGTTAAACATTGACTATTACTGAAAATATATTTACAAGGAATTACAACTTTCATAATCACAAAGGAACATATATTTTAGGCGGTTATAAATAAGTATGAATGAAACCTGAGAACTCGAGCATGAAAAATGAAAAAGTGCATACAATTTGCAAGAAGTTAAACACAGATCCAGTGGTAGACCAAAATTACGAAATAAAATATGATATACAATTATGACAATGATATCCTCATTGCCTGTCATACCGACCCTGAAATTATATTTTCTCTAATGAAACGTAATAAGTGTAAGACTTTTTAGTCAATGTTGGAAATTTTAAAACGGCAGATAAAAGCAAATATGAAACTAGTGGGCCAACATCAATGACATATTTTATTGTAATTCTCGATGCAGTAATTATAACATATGATTGACATAGGGAATTAGAAGACATCTGCTTTCAATTGCAGACACATATTTTGTGGACAATTCTAGGGTCGAGAAGAAAACAACAGATTGGATTTCGTAAGGGTACCAAATAACTGACCACATAGATTTCTTCTTATTTCCTCGAAAACATTCTTAAAGTAACGAACATAAAATTGTTCTTGCTTTCTTGTATTTCAAAGAGCTGTTGATTAGTTTGGTGATTTAAGCATTGTTACTGACGCAAATTAAATATAATGCTTACTGAAAAATGTTAAGGTAAATTATATGCACAGCGGTAATAAAATACTTTATTCATTGTAATGATCAACACATAGCTGGTTTTTTTAATAATGTTTAAAAAAAACAAATGCTTCCACCATTATTTACTATCTTATTTCTTAATCACCGTGAATTTTACATTAAACAAACTGAGATCGACTTAAACTTTGAATTCTTTACATAATGATGTTACGTTGTTACCGGAGGTTTTAATGATATTTTTTACGATCCGGCTTTCAATAAAATGAATCTGAAAGAAAGCTTAAATTATTTTTTTTCAAAACATTAGGGACTGTAATATACATAGTATTGGTAGTTAAACCAAAATATTGGTTATTGGAGAAGCAAATCTGAATCACTTATAATTTGTTTCAGATAGGGTGTAGAAATAATAATTTAATGTGATTTAGTCTGAAAATCCAAAGCAATGAAAAATGTTGTTGATAAAGCCATAAGAAGATATGCTTTCAGATGAAATAAGAAATTATGCTGGGATTAAAACTATATATATATATATATATATATATATATATATATATATATATATATATATATATATATATATATATATATATATATATATATATATATATATATATATATATATATATATATATATATATATATATAACATAATTTTAAAAAATACATTTTCCTAGCATATCTACTTTTCTTCTAATTCAGAACGTCAAACTGCAGTTAATTATTGAATATCAACATTAAATGAGAAACATGACAAACAGCATTATAGCAATATTGTGAGTGAATTAGAAACTAAATATTGTTCTCATAAATGCATACGCTGATTTCACACATCACACGATCATGGCTCTTTCATGAGCTTATTGAAACATAATGTCTTCCTCTATGCTAATATTGGATATATTACTTTTTGTGTTACATAAAAGACGATAATTCTAATCGCTGGCAGACTATGCGTTTAAATAATTGATTGGCTTTTGCAAAATAATCTACAATTGATTCTTTACAAAACTTTACTAGAAATCGCAACATGAAATCTTAAAATCACTCTTCCGCAAAGGTCTCCACACCTCCTTTCTTAAGTGCTGACTGACCATAAGTGTATTGGCTACTGAGAGAATTACTAACTAGGCAGAAATTAATTCTTAGCAATAAGTAATACTTTTGACATTTTGTTAGTTATTTTACTAAACCTGAACACAAAGACAAGCCTGATTTCGAGATGCATTATCTCAGAGAAGTAACACTGGGTCGAGTGTTTTTCACAAGCTCACATAGAGCTTGTGTTTATATTTCCTTTGTGCCGCACATATCACTTTTACTGGTGCATGCAATCCCGCGTTCAATGGCAAAATGATAGAAAATCCTGTATAATCTAGTATTATGATATATATTGCACAATTTAAAATATATCAGTGTACAACATATAATAAAATATTTGGGCAATAATTTTCATAGGTACAAAAGAGATTTAAATATTTTTACTTATCCATTTGTACTAATATTGTATAGAAATCGCTTACAGCAATTGAAGTGTACTATGTTTGGATACTCTCTTGTATTGTTTAGGTACTATGTGTTCTCATCTTGACTTTCTGTTTCATTTATGTTGCACCATGATATTTTCATATGTAAGTTTACTTATTCTAGATGTGTTTAGTGGTTAGAGCGTTCGCCCGAGATGCAAGAGGTCGTGGGTTTGATTCCCGGCCGAATCGTAGTAAAGATTTAAAAAAAAGTACTAACAGTTGTTCCCCTTGGCGCTCATCTTTAAGAGGATAGTGTTAGGAGTGGTTGGCCTGGTGTCAGAATAATGTGACTGGGTCGGACATTATGCTACAAGTCTGCTAGACATCACTATAAACAGCCACACTGCATGCATCGTAGCGATATGACTGAAAAATTGTTAAGCTGTGTTAAAACTCCAAATCACACACACAAACATACGCGCGCTCTCGCGCCTTTTTCAAAATATATGGTACATACATAATCTTTGCTTAATAATGTTTCATTTGATTCCATTGTTTATAGTTCTCTAGGATATCAACTATTGCCATAATATATTGATGTATTAATAGTTCTCAGTAGCAGAGTAACATAGACAAATAATATTAATCACTGAAATCACAAATCAATTCAGGCTCAGATTTTGATAAATCGCACTATTTTGTTCATTGACAGACTAATTCATAATGCTAAATTTTCATGGGATATATATATATATATATATATATATATATATATATATATATATATATATATATATATATATATATATATATATATATATATATATAAATGCAATAACCTGACGACGAATAGAGCGAAACAAGTAAATATCTACTAGTAACGAGTTACTAGTTTCGCACTGTTCGTCGTCAATTTATTGCATCTATCTTAATCAATCCCTACCACACGTGATCCCTTGGTGGATCATGTGCGCTTGAAAGGGTGGTTATTCGCCATAGGATTTGCATTCTTTATATATATATATATATATATATATATATATATATATATATATATATATATATATATATATATATATATATATATATATATATATATATCCAATCTTCAAGAAAAGATAATTGTTATTAATGATTGAGCCATGGTGTGCATTAATACATGTATTTTAATTTTAGTTGATTAAATGTGATGAGGTTTATTTTGATTTATTGACTGAATATATAATTCATTGATTTTTACAGTGTTCCGGGAAAGACTGAATTTCGTACAAGTGCAACAGACTGCAATGAAGAAAGAAAGACTTAATGGACTTTATTAATTGTTAACCAATCTCAATATCTCTCTGAGCTAGAACTGTTGCAAAGACTGTGTGCATGTGTGCTTTATTTCACTAGATCTCGCATTCTATGGATCTATTTTTTTTTCAATTTCTCGAAGGTTTGATCGCGAAAGACTTTATAAAGTCGTGAACTAGTGTAAAATTCCCATATTACACCCATGCCACGTGGAGACAGACAACATAACGTTTTAGATCTTTAAAATCTATTAACTTGTTTTGTTTTAGTTCCCAAGACCATGACGTTATCATTAGGTTTGACTTTATTCTTCGAACTATACAGTTTGTATTCAGCATAGTAGAACACAAACATTTACACCAATAAACGGCACCTTTGATGAAAAAAAGGAGAGTTAAAGGTAGGAGGAGAAAAACTAAAGCAAATGAAATAATTAAAATGACAACAAATAAGAATGAAAAATAAACTATACAGTTAGCTTTTTAGTTACAAGTAAGCTGAAGAACACCTCAATGTAAGGATGTATATCAAAGTTTTAAAATTAAAATTTATAATTGATTTAAACCTTCGCTTTAGTTTGGAGTTATCGTTAATTCCATCAAACATGTTGAAGCATATAGAGGTAAATTTTGGAACCAATATTGAAGGAAAATTTTAAAAAAAAATGTTCCAATGCAATTAGAGATATTTGTCTTCTCCTTAACTTGTTTGCTGTGTATGCAATTTCTAATACAGCAGCAGGTAGGGTGAACCCTACAGATTTTTGCGCGAATCCTTAACGAAAAATAAAGGTTCCTACAGAGGCTGAAAAAGGTCAATAGCGCTAAACCAAAGTCTCTAACTAATGTTATTTCCATACGGTTACTTTAGCTCATTTTTGTTATATTATTATTGAAGTTATTTTGTCCTGACTTCGTAAGGCAATCTTTTGTTTACTTTTAAAGACTCAATTGTTGTCCTTCACCCTGCCTTCTACTTTTGACGGTCAATGGGAACTAACCAAAGATTTTATCAAGACCCACACGATATCTTAATCTAGGATCGTATGTATAAATTAATATATAGAGTTTCGTTTCTTAAGTCAATAATATTTCCATCTTGATTTGTAAGTTTGAAATTCATTCTCGACAATAATGGATTATGCACACGCAGGTATACTTGATTTATTGGCTCAGATACAATAAACCACCCTGGGGGGGTTGAATACTGGACGAATTAAATATATATTCCTGCTGGGCCTGATTAGACTTAGAGAGGTCGACGTGGTAGCTGCTGTCAATTATATAGCATATTAAATTTAGTGCGATGATGGATGTTATATTAACAATATTAGGCGTGACGTGACGACCTGTTCCATATGGGTCATTATTACATTTGAGAACTGCTGGGGGGGAATTAATTTTTTCCAGGAATTACATATTCTTTTAAAGTGCTCATCAATAAGATCACTGATTTTTTTAATGTCTCGGATTCGAATCCGGGAATTATAAATGTTGATAATTGTTCTCTGTAATTCCATAATATTTCCGAAATACTGTCTTAAATAATCGCTTATTATATTCATGTTGAATTGGGTCATCTTCATTAACTATATAATAGCTAAACATTCTACCTACTCACACGTTTATTATTTTTTCTCTGTCAAAAATAGCCTTATTTACATATTCTATGTCTGCTGCAACTTGATTTAGATGTATTGCGTCAATTGTCTGATTGTTTTAAATCGTCGTAATAAAAAGTATTTGATGCTGGGAAGTAAATTTTTGATATCATTTAACACGCGTTCATGTTCTTATTTATTCGGTCTTGATAATGAGTTAATTTGCTCGACTTCAATTGTTAATGTTTTTACTGGATCCTTCTTACCTTGAATGAAATCCATAAAATAAATATGACTCGTATAAGCTCTGGGTATCGTAGCGCCCTCCATAAATAAAATTTTTTTCACTATTTTGCAAGTTATATAAATTTCTTAACATCTATGATGAAGTCAAATCGCTGTGGTTCTGGTGGAACCTGATAAACCGATGCAACTTTAGGCCATCCTAATGCAGATCTAATCAAACTTTGATAAATATCCACAGCATTGTCAGGAGAATGTATTTCAATCACCGACGATAATGTTGGTTCATAAACAGTAATTGCTATTTTCGACTCTTTTCCGGTTAAAGACTTAATTCTGCGCCGGAATTCTTCATTAATTTGCTCAATCTGATAACTGCCAGTTGGAATACTAACTACTTGCCAATCTGGAGTTCCATCAGACTTATTATTTTTATTTGCGAATACTAATGGTTTATTTGGCTGTTGTCCACCAAATGGTTTTGATCTAATATTAGGCCAGCTATAATAAACACGTAACTGACCTAATGCTATTTCTTTTACTGGAACTGCAGTTGTAAAGTTAACACTAAATTCATGATTGGTTAAACTTATCGATATCATAGTAGTTTTTGAATGAGTTGTGTTAGTGACGATCTGCTGTAACAACTCTCTCGACTCAGTATCCAAACGATGTTCAGGCGCTGACATTGTTGTTATTATTATTGTTTAATTCTCCATTTATTTTACTCTGGTTATTGTCACCAGGATCGTTAATGATTATGAATGCTTCATCGTAGGTTTTAATTATCGTTACAAACTCATCAGATACTTTACCATCGCTGAGATACGTGGAAATATACCCAGATAGTTTTGAGTAGGTTGTTGTTGCTGTATGCAACTTTATCATATACTCACGCAATTTATCATTCGCACATGTAGTTATCTTTTTAGCAATAATAATAAGAATGCCTGCTATAGTCGTTGAAGTTGAAACAATAATTGTTATAATTGCTGGAGCTGTCATTGTTAATGTCGATAATATTAATCCGGATCCAGCAACAATAGCAGAAAATGAGTACACAACTATATCAATGACAACCATACGTCTGCGATATTTTTTACTTTTACTGTATAATGGTAGATGATATATTTTAGTTTGGCCAGACATTCATATGCTTGATTTTATCTGTGACATTGAACGTCGATAGATGACGTAGTTATTTTTTTTTTTATTATTCTATGTCGTTAAGTAATTAATTGAGCTACAAATTCCAAACACCACCGGTAAGCTTGAGGTAAATTTCTACTCGATGATTCCAGCGTAAACGCTCTTTCAGAATCTTTATCTAATAACACAGATATAGTTTAGAAAGATCACCAGTTGATGGAGATATAATGGATATTCTAAAATCTGCAACGCTAAGTGCGGACATCCTATATATACTAGCGATCTCCGAAGAATTTTTGATGGTTTTATTTTCTGGTGTCCACGATCCAAACCCAGATGCAACTTTATGCACAATATTTCTTGTCTGATTGTGAGGAATTTTAATCAGGTTTGTTTTTGAATAATATCCGGAATTCCACCAATAATGTCATTGAGTTTTGTGTTAATATCAGTAGGTTTTATATCAACATTTGGTGGACTTCCCAAAACTTCGTTACTAGTTCTGTTTAAGTTTCTGCGACTACTCAATAACGTATTCACGTGACCGGTAAAAACAGTTTCGATTTTGACTATTTCATTACTGATTAGAATCTGAATATCGTCGACGTATTTTTTGTAGCAGCATCAAAATCCGATTCTGGTGCTCTTAAATTACTAGTACCATTATGGTTCATATTGGGAAATGCACAGATTATACCATCGTTGGCTAATAAGTACTTAGATTCCTGATCGTCAACATATATTTTTGTTGTAGCATCACTATCTGTAGTTGGATATTCAAGATCTGTAATTTTATTTTTGTTTATAATAACAAATCTCCACTAAATACACCGCAAGTCGTCCTGACATAATCGTTAACTGACTTACCAGCATCCTGTATTGTACACTGATCAGTAAAAGTAACGATATTATCAGCAACTGCAGTTGGAATTCGTATAAATACGTCTGATAGTTGTATGTTACTGGTC